TTACGTTTTATATTTTATATTTGAATCGAATTTTTTAAATTTCAAGTTGAATTATCGTTGGTCTATTTTGCCTTAATTGACCCCTTCCCTTGATGAAAACAGAGATATTGATTTTTCTTCTTCCACATATCGATCTATCTCACTTTAAGCATAACACGTTTATTATAGAAGTATAACCCCAAGGAAAAGAATTTACTTAGCTGCAATCGTGCTTACAAAACACGAACGTTACCGTTGTTTGGAATAAAGTTCGTATATCTAATATGAATACAATTGCTGTGCGTTCTATTTTTGCACTGTACAAAATCGATCCTTCTCAGTGCTTCTAAGCTGCCAGCTTACACACGTTGGCTGCAAGCCCACATCCTGCACTTAGCTTATCGTAAAGGTCAGTGTACTCTTAAAAAAATTCTAGACAGTTCCAGCTGCAAGCTGAAGTATCTTTGATATGAAAAAAAATAGCAAACTACTCAGATGCTGACAGGATTTCGTACAGCGACTTTTAAAATTTAATTCATAAAAGTATTCTTGAAAGCAAATCAAATTAAAAATTATAATTATTAAGTTCCAACAATTTGTAAAATTGTTTAATATCATTAAAAATAAATGTTGCACAAATGTTTGATCAAAAATAGCTTATTTTCATTTCATTCTTACTAACAGAAAATTGAAATAAACATTTAATATCTTGTCTACTGGAGATTTTAATTGAAATTTTTTACGCTTCTGTATTTTTTTTAAATAATATGAATAAATGTTACATATTCTTACTATGCAAAGTTCAAACAAAATTGAAAAGGGAGAAAGTGAATAAACAAACGGAATTTATATTAAAAAAAGAATAGTTTATTTCTTAAAGAAATTAGTAATATAAAACTTATTTCTTTTAATATTTGTACTTTTGCACAATTTATGTGTAAAGGCTTGTGAAACACTTATAATACCATAAACTGTTTACAGTACTAATAATAACAATCGAACTTGATGATAATGAAAAGGGTGAAGATGGTTTATGGAACTTTAACAGTGCCTTTTCTTCCACGTTGATGTTGATGTTGTGGCTGTTGCTGTTGTTGTTGCTGTTGTTGTTGCTGTCCTCGTTGGGGAGATGGTTTCTCTTTTTGCAATTCCAATGTATCATTCGGCTTATCGTCACAATTATTTATAGCTGGTTTACCAGTATGATGTATCGGTATTATTGTTTCGTTTGCTTCGGATTTCAAAGGTTCTTTTCTGGGTACAGAAATCGATAAGACACCATCAGAAGACAAATGTGATTCTATCTGGGTAATATCACATTGCGATGGTATGATGTATTTTCTAACAAACTGCCTGGAAACCCAACCGTGTTCGTCTTCTTTCTCGCCGTGTTTCGCTTCAACGACAACGTTCTGATCTATCACTTTAACATTAATATCCTCCGGTGAAAATTGTGATACGTCCAAAGTCACTTGAAATTTATTTTTATTTGGCAGAACAGTTGATACACCGCATCCACGTTTTCTATTTAAGCTCTTAAAGAATGGATGATATCGTCTTCTGGCGCGTCTATGCGGTCGATAGAGCAGAACATCTGTACTGAGCGGCGAATCCAGATCGGTCAGATCATCTGAATCTATCGATGTACCGAAATGTTGATCCCAAATACGATGAGGTCGGTCTAGATCTTCCCACCAATCAGAGAACAGCATTGGTATTAACGACATCGTGTAAATGTTAATATGATAATCGCACTGTACACCGCGTACGATATATCCGAAATGTTCTCGCACTTTCTGAATACAAGCAATTTAAATGTCTTATCTGTTACTAAATTACCAGAATAGCAATTTAATGGTTTATAGGATTGATATTATGCAATATATATGTATGATGAATTGCCGATTTATTTGCAACTGACTGTTAACAGCAGTACCGCTATATCGTTCACACGTGAATCAACTGTCGCCAACCACGCAGTTCTCTTTATACGTATTCGTTGCGCATTAGGAAAGATGGTGGGGGTACTCGTACCGCGCATTCGAGAAGACCGTGGAACACGCCAGAGTTGTCCTTGAATGCAATCGTTTCTCGTATAACAGATCAGTTCTGTGTAACGGACCTGCGCAACACAACGAAAATGGGCTGTAGTTGTATGTATCGTTTCGTGTCGCTGTTTGCGAAAGGCATGTTTTAATAGTGTACTGTGAGAATAGGTTCCCCGACGCGCGTCGATGTAAAAGCGTCTAGAATGTGTCTAGACTTGAAATCAACTGTCTACTCATGCCCTAACGGAAATGATTTTTATGTGTTAGTTTTGGAAGTCTGCCGTATGTATTCTTCTTCTTGTATGTAACGTAATTATAATTTTGATCAATTATTTACACTGCAGTACATTGCAATTTTTTTCAATTAAAGAAAAAGTAGAGAAAATTGTTTGTAAACGAACGGATAAGTATGTGCATATAAGTTATTGGAAACTTAATGTATCTAGGTTAATATCAAATTATTTGCTTTTATATAAAATTTAATGTAAAATATGTCTTACGAATATTGTATTTACGCATAGGTGATATGAAAGTGGGGTTATGATTGACTTTATGATTGTTTCATGTTATAATAGTTTCTACTGTAAAAAATTAGTTAATATTTTTAGCTAGATGTATACAAAAAAATGTGTAACTATTTTGAATTTTGAATTTCATTTATAAAATAATTTTGTCTAATGAAGTTTGATATATAAAAAAAATAATACTTATTTTTTGTTATTTCAATTCGAATTGTATATAACAGACGGAAAACAAAATAAAACAATGATTTCTTGGACTGCAACGTTACACCGTTAGTTCCTGTTTTGCTGATTTATCAGCTGTTATCGAGTCTAACCTTACTTTACACCTATACATATACATACATATATAGATGAATACAGTCGTATCCACCATCAAAACAATACTATTTAAAATAGATATAATTCGTTATTGGATAATTCAAAAATGAACAAACACTCAATCTTGAACCATTTAATTTTTCCTTCTGTCATGTTTTTCTATCTTTAACTCGTTTTAAAGATGCTTGGTTCATTTGTATAATCATATGTATTGTGATATCGATTAGCAACTCTGCTTTCAACATTAAAATGTTCTGAATGCTAAGTAGAGTATTATGCGTGTGCAAGATGGTATTAAAACAGTGTGGCACATGCACGTATTATATTAGTATAGAAGTATTACCAGAAATGCGAGGTGAATAAACATGATACCCTTTTACGGTTCTATGCATCTTGTAGTCCATCCGGTTGTCAGGTACAAAACTCATACTACTGCAAAGGGATAAAGTACGAAAACGAAACCAGTCTGTTGCTTGGAATATTCTGTTTCATTTGAAAAGAAGCATGCTTTGTTAGAAGTATGTACTCCTTTATAGGCCATGAATTACGATCGAAACCGTTACGGGATATTATCGTTTTGAATTATCCCCAGAATTGAATGCTAAATTTTTATTCACTCGCCTTTTTTTGTAAGTCAATATTTTTATAGACTAAAAATTCTTCGAATGCTCATCATAGAACGAGGAATCATTCAAATTACAACAATAAATATTTTTCAAACATATTTATTAAAAAAGAATTAGAAAATAGAAAATACTAGTACAATCTTGTAACAACGGTTCACACGCAATTTTCAGATACATATGTACATATACCAAACGTCATAACTTTGAATACAAAAAAACGACAGTCAGATTGTATGTATATTAACATAAATACAAAAACAAAGGAGATCAAGACCTCATATTTAGCTCTCTAAAAAAGATAATTTGGGGGAATCCGGTGTCTCGGGTTTCGTAGCAGTGGTTTTTCCTTCACTTGGTTTGTCAAATCGAATGGCAGGTTTGTCTGTCAATTCTATTTTGATCCTTCTTTCGTTCGACTTTCCTTCTTTCTCCTTTAATGGTGCCGTAATCGTTAATATGCCGTCGGATGATATATTCGATGACAATTCATTCTCTTCTACTTGCTGGGGTAGCCAGTACTTTCTCATGAATTGTCTCGAAATTAAACCATGCTCGTCTTTTCTCTCCTCGTGTTTCGCTTCGACCACGACACATCGATCGATGACTTTCACGCTGATCTCTTCTGGCTTGAATTGTTGTACATCGAGCATAACCTTAAAAGTGTCCTTTCCTGCAGTGATGGTCGATGTACCAGTCTCGCCACGACGTAGCAACTCAGATGATATCGGTCTGTAATAAAGATCCAAGGCAGCTCTGTTGTTTAAAATCGAATTCGGCCAGGAAGGAAGAAATGTCAATTGTTCAGGATGAAGTCCCATGCCAAAATGTTGATCCATGAGACGGTGTGGACGGTCCAAGTCTGCCCACCAAGCAGAATATAGCAACGGTAATAACGACATCCTGGATGCTTCGTCGAACTTAACCTCTTTTGTCAAATGTTATATACACCTTTAGCACTTAAAAATACGCTAAATACGTGTTCAGTAGAAAAGTGAATGCACAATAGGTAACTTTCTTCGGTAGCGTATTCAGAGGCTGAGATGCGACTGGAATTTTGCCCTCAACGACCGCTATTTATATGGAGCCGGCTTTTTACTGTAGTGAGACATTGTCTGCGTAGTGGACGTTCGTGAAGTTACAGGGCTAAGAACGAAAATATCACCAGCGTATTGATTTCGTTGTTTTCAGGACCGATAACCAATTGAATGGTTCGAATAATTAAGATTGCCACTATTTTGTCGTTAATAACCACGAACTTCGGTGCGATTGTCCGAATCGATTGCTCTTGTTTCTCTCTCACCGCGTTTCTTTCGTAACATGTCACCTTATTAAGCGTCGTACGAACATTGTGGAACGTTCGTTACTTCTTGAAAGATAAATTTTTATAAATAACATTAGATTTTCTAACGTTATTCTGAACTTCCATGAAACTGTATCAAATTAAAATTCTTACAGTCGTATTTACACAGTATAATTATCGTATCTTAATTAAGAAGATTACTATATATGGTATAAAAAATAAAGAAAACAAAATAAAAACTTTAATGAAAATAACACTTCTTACCCTTGTCTAGAATTTTCACAGCTGTGTCTGGGTGAATCATTGTTACGTATAAATAACGTAATATAATGACACGTGTGTCGATACATGTTCTTCTTAATTACTCATCTTAATTGGTATTTGTTATATTAAAAAAGGGATAAGAAATTTCACAATGATAGTTTAAGTTTTCAATATTAGTAAGTTAATTAATCTTATATTTGAAATTTATCAAAAATTTAACACAACTGTTTTCATTTATTAGACATATTGTACGTTTAATATTAGCATACCGTTTTTAATATTAATAATATAAAACGTTGTTGTTACACTTCCTGTATTTGACAACAATTTCGTATAAGAATTCTTACGTTTAACCTTTGTATACCTTCTTCAATTTAGTATAACATAAAACGACTAATGAGTAAAAAATTATGCGTTTATAATATTGACAACATAAAAATGATTTTGCTGAAAGTATTTACGTCTGAGAACAGTACATATTCCAGCAATATATCACACCTCTTCGGATGAGCCTCAATCTAATAATAAGTTTATTTTCCTTGTGGGTACTGTCTGGAAATATTTTTCAACGATAATCATGTACAAAATATGGAATTTATCTTCGAACCGTGCGTTTGTTTTAAACGAGGTGATAAGTAGGAAATGTACATATCACGAGCAGTACTTTGTGTTAATGAGCTATATTATGGTTTGTATGGTATATGTATGATATTATATATACAAGGTGACCCATTTTAATCTATAAATACTTATATTTCGGAAACTACGTTAAATTGGAAAAATTGCTTTTGGGAAATTAAGAAGTAAATTCGCTTAGTTGAGGCGTTAAGATCATTTGAAGGTTAGTTCGATTTTTTCTTTTATATATTTTTTTCTATGGAAAGATAGAAAACATAACACATGTAATGCATGATTTTCTTGAAAAATATGAAAATATAATATGAAAATAGCTATAGATACTGCTTTATTTTCAGCACAGATATTCCAATGATGATCAACCACGATGTTTCTGATAGCAATGGATGAAAACATCTTTTGTTACGTAAGTGCATAACTACCCTCCGATACTTTTTGCGCCGTAGATATCGTTTCTAAACGTAGAAAATATCTGTCGTCGTCGAAATGCGTCGTAACCTTGCAACAATCTGATATCTTGGAATTGTGAGGTTAACAGGACTACGACGTAAAACGAATTCGAGATCTAAAATTTCAAAGTGGCTCCCTGTTTAATCGATATCTTAACACTCGTAAAATAAATTACTGCTATTCGTTTCTTTTTCTTTTTTTTTCTGCCCTGTCATCCCATTCTTGCATTCATTCTGTTATTGTTATTGTTTATCAACTATCATTACTTTTCTTTTTTAAATTATAATTTTTTTTTTTTATTTCATCTATCGAAACTGTTCTATTTACATATTTCCCGAAAAATTCTTCCTTTACTGCATCTGTTTTCAATCACTTTTGAGATAATGTGAAAAACTTTTTGCACCTTTTCTTCGCTAAATGTTTTAGTAAATATAAATATTATGTTTTAAATTTTGAAAGCGGAAGAATATCAGAGAGAATTATATGTACATATATACTGTGATTTTAATATAAAAAAAAGTGTTAGTTATTCGAAAATAAAGACTCGATTGAAACTTTTAGTAGCTTCTATACCCAAAAGGATGTTTGCGTTCAACTCTGGCTGTACCTTCTCATTAATTTCACGCTTGGGTGTCGAACAACAGACGAGAGGTCAGTCTTCTACGCAGTTTCGGCTCCAGATACCTACACAGGGGAATTCGATATTTGTTTGTTTTGTATTTTTTAGCTACTTTTTTGTGTTGTTCAAGTCGTTATGAAATAACTGATGGAATTAATAGGACCAATGAAATATTTCTTTTTTATATCCTTTTCACGAAAGTTCTAAAAACCTTTGTTATATTGCGAAAATATTACAGTA